ATGTAAGAGTTAACAAATAAGACGCTAGAACAAATGGGCCAGCAGTGATTTAAATAATATGGTTTCTGTGTGCTTATTTTGGGGCTAAGCAGCCAGGAACTAATAAGTGGCCTCCCTACAGCACTCACCCACACTCACATACAGCACACACACTCACATACAGCACACACACACAGCCACCCACACTCACATACAGCACACACACACACAGTCACCCATACTCACATACAGCACACACACACAGTCACCCACACTCACATACAGCACACACACTCACATACAGCACACACACTCACATACAGCACACACACACAGTCACCCACACTCACATACAGCACACACACTCACATACAGCACACCCACACAGTCACCCACACTCACATACAGCACACACAATACTCATATACACATACAGCACACACAAACATACTCATAGACACTCAAACACTCATACACACTCACATACAGCACACACACACACTCACACACACACTCACAAAGGAAGCCCAGGCATAGTAGCATTCAGCTGTAATCTCAGTTCTTAGGAAGTTGAGGTGGAAGGATGGTGCATTTGAGGCCACCCTGGGTTACATAGTGAGTAGAGAGATCTTGTATCAAAAACAAAAAAGAAAAACAAGCAAGTAAAAAATCCCCTTCCCATCACCAAAACCCCAAGCAACAACATAACAAAGATATTTAAGAGCGATCTCTCTAGTCTTCATGAGGAAATGTTGAAGGTATGTTTTTGAGACTATTGTTGAAGACAGCTTTGACCTCTGTTATTCGTTTTTGAAAAAGCTCAAGCAGCGATGAGTTTCTGACTATATAGTCATTGTTAGCATCTTCCTGGTCTCTATCTATAAGCTGGTGTGCCAGAAGTGCTATATTTTTGTCAAGTAATAGCTGTGAATCATCAAATGGATTCAATAATGAAAAAATACTTTAAAACAAAAACAAAGCAGGGCTGCGGCAGGGAAGTCATCCAGTGAGATTTCTCAAGGAGAACCAAGGCTGAAAGACCAAAATGTCACATTGCACGAGGACTTCCAGCCCTTCTGCTCGCCCCTCCCCTGTCCCGCTACAATAGGAGAACTGTTCTGAGGCGCTAGAGTGGTAACACCAGCGACAAGAAAAGTGGGAGAAGGGAAATTTCCCTCCAGTCCTTAGGAATGTGGAAGATGGTCCCCTTTTTCCTGGGACAATAATAAAAATGTTCCAGGCGGTAAGAAAAGAACAATGTACTAGACTGGTGCTACTGTGTGGCTAGCAAGGATGACAGATACCGCTGCATGCAAATGACACCTTGAGCACAGCTCAACCCATTACGCTGAAAATTTGTATCAGGTTCTGCATTCTAAAGGACTGTCAAAATAAAGAAACAAAGTGACCTTTCTCATTGTTACAGTTCCAGGTACCACCAAGGCAGAGAAAAGGCCTCAAGTCCATCAAAGTTCATGATACCAGAAGAGGGTGCTAAATGGACAAGGGGTCCCAAGAAACATGTCACGCTGATAAGTAGGGGTCACTGGGTTCTGGAGAGGGCAGAGAAGGCAGAACTTCATCAAACCTCAGGAGAAACTAGCTCCTGCCACATTTCTGTTTGCTGCCAAAGCTAGCATAGGCTTAAGGTAAAAGAATAATTTAAAATATATAATTATCATTTGACTTCTAATTTAGTTCATGAAGGACAATATCTACTACTCTGTACAAATAAATTATTCTTGGATGTGAACAGTGATAAATTAGATGAGTGAACTAGTTTTGCATAGGCAGCACAGTCTTTCACTTGACTGTGAAAATAATAATTATAATATCGCCATTCTCAGCAGGACAAGAGGCTGCTATAAACATTAATAGTGTAAATGCAATAGCTTATTCGTTGTCTAGCAGAAAAAAATATATCAAAACATCAGAGTGAAGCTCTGTCAGTGGGAAAGAGTAGACGTGTGCCAAGTGTATGAGGATACAATGAGAAAGGTTGCTTTTGTGTGTGTCAAGAGCCAGTGTAAATCAAAGATTGCTCTAGGAAAGGATAATGACAAAAGTGACATGCATGTTTCTCCACAGGACCAAGGTTAATCTCAGCCAGGAGGAATTAAGATGTTCTCTGTGAGGGTGAGAAGATGGACATGGTTGCATGATGTATGACCTGAAAAAAGTAAAGTCACCCCTTAGTTATTAAACAACTCACTGTTAGAACATTTATTGAGTAGCTTGATGCTGGAGACATAAAATAACCAGGATACAAGACATGCCTGTGAATATTTTGGGCAGAGGACACATATATCTGAAACAGAAGAAGAGGAGGAGGAGGAGAAGGAAGAAGAAGACAAGGAGGAGAATATGATAGAATAAACATAATGCTATAGCATTATTTATTGCTGGAATACTTGATTAAAAAGGAAGAAAGGGGCAGAAAAATTAAGATAAAGCCATGCCTGAGGTGAGATTTTAATATTTGACAGTCATTTATTCAGCTCCTATGGATGAAGGACTAACGACGTTTATTGTGCTTGCTCTCAAAAGACTGACAGATGGTGACTGGACTTGGAACAGGCAGAGCCAATGGTGGGTTTAATTAAAACTATACTCGCAGATGGTGTTGTTAAAGACAGGCTGATTGGCTGTATGTGGGAGTGTAAGAAAAGGATCCACGAGGGAAGTGAGCTTTGAGAGACATGGCGATATCTGTGAATCCAGCTGTGACAAGCACAAAAGACTAAGGGAATTCTATAGTGGGAGCAAGAGTGGGGAAAGGCGGGCTGCACGTGATGCACACAGAAGTGAAGGAAGTTTGACACAGTTATTTGGGGTGGGACAATTGTCTGTATTCTGTCAATTGTATTTTAAACAAATGCTGATTGGTCAGTAGCCAGACAGGAAGTAGAGGTGAGTCAATGAGAACAGGAGAATTCTGGGAAGAGGAAAGTTTGGTCCACAGTCCTGGCCCAGCCACAGAAGAAGCAAGATGTGACTGCCTCGCCAAATTAGGTACCCAGCCACGTGGCTAACATAGATAAGAATAATGGGCTAATATAAGTTATAAGAGTTAGCAAGAAGCCTGAGATACTAGGCCAATCAGTTTATAACTAATGTAGACCTCTGTGTGATTTCTTTGGGACCGAATAATTGTGGGAACTGGGCAGGACAGAAAACTCAGAAAACAGTTATTAATTATGAAAAACATAGAACATTAGAACTATTGAGCAAGAGTCTAGGTTTACAGAGACCATATGTCATAACAAAGCATAAATTCAGACTTAAAACTGAAAGTTATTTTGTAGAGTGGTGATTTTCTGTTTTGTTTTTGTTTGAGACAGGGACTCTTTGTGTAACAACCCTGGAGGTCCTGGAACTGACCCTGTAGACCAGGCTGGCCTTAAACTCACTGAGATCCTTCTGCCTCTGCCTCCCAAGTGCTGGAATTAAAGGTGTGTGTGCCATTGCTGCCTGATTGAGTGATGCTCTTTTCAAACAGGATGCCACTATGGGTTTTTTTTTCTTTGTTTTCTTTCTTTATTTGTTTGTTTTTTGATTTGTAAGGGAGTATATAAAAAAAAGTAAAGAACCCCCCCCCCCCCAAGGACTGATTATAGAGTTCTCTAGGCTAGGCTCTTTGGCTTTAAATGTTAATTATTAGGGAATGTGAACTCTTTGAACATTGTTGGGGAGAGAGGGGAATGACAAGCTTCAAAACGCGCCTCTTGTGACCATCTGCAATACTGTGCCAGAAAGTCTTTTTTTTTTTTTTAACTCATAAGTAATCTTCAGATCCTATTTATTCTGTGTATTTCTCAACTCCATCCTTCTTCCCTCCTTCGCTATAGGGGCCTCCAGTGCTATGGGGCCTTATCATTTGATGCCTGATTGGATACAAAAGCCTCCAGCTTACCGTTCTGCTCTGTGCACTCAGTCCTCCCCGTGAACTTGTCATATCCCTCAGTGCACAGCTTTCAGATTTACTAAATATACGCGGTTTTCACGAGAGTGTAATTTTTCTGGAAAGCGGATAGATGAAGTCCTGGAAGGGCTGTCAAATTGAGATGATTCCTAAAAGGTCTCCAGTTACTCATTCTCTTCCACACCATCTGATTTTCCTTTTCTACGTGGGCATTCATCCTAAAAACAAAACAAAACAAAAGAAAAGAAAAGCGACTTTCATTTTCATGGATTCATTTGCTCCTGCTACTGCCTTCATAGCTAAATTCAAACATGCGATGCTGGAGAGGTGGCTCGCTGGGTACAAAGTTTGAAGTCCCAGATCCTACCTTAAAAAAAAAAAAGCCAGATGCAAAGTACAAACATCTGTAATCCCAGCACTGCTACAGGGAGACCTTTGCCCCTAAGTTCACCCTTTTGTGGTCAACCACCTACTTGGCAAAGCTTGGAGTCCTTTAGGCATTGTGAGCTCACCACAGTCAAAGCAGAAGTTTATTTCTCATCCGACGATTTCCATTCCCTTCTTATTTTTTAGAAAGTGACCCCACTGCTCTCTTAGCAAGGACCGACTTTTTCTGTGTAGCCCTGACTGTTCTGAACGTCCTCTGTGGACCAGGCTGACCTCGAACTCACAGAGGTCCTGCTGCCTCTGCTTTCTTAGTGCTAGGATTGGAGGCGCGCACTGCCACCACCTGCCACATCAGTGATTTTCATCATGTCATTCTATTTGAAAAGTCTCTGGAAGCATCACTTCCAAGTGTGAACTCTTCCACATGCTCCGTTGTAGACACCACCCTGCTTTCTTGCTGGCCCTCTGGTAGCCCCTGTATGCTGAGCACCTGGAGTTCTTTCTGTCCGAGATGAATTTATTGCAACATCTGTGAGGTGCCTTCCTTCACACAAGTCTTCCTCTACACGATTCTCAAATGCTGCGTTCCTGGCCCTTCTCTTCCTCTTCTCTGGTGTTCATCGACTCAGCTTCCATTTTCCATGCTGATGTGGGAGTGATTTCTTATTAATAAAGAAACTGCCTTGGCCCATTTTATTGGATAGAAAATTAGGTAGGCGGAGTAGACAGAGGAGAATGCTGGGAAAAAGAAGCTGTGTGAGGAGTCGCCATGGTTCTCCCGCTCCAGACAGACGCAGGTTAAGATCCTCCCTGGTAAGCCAGCTCGTGGGCTACACAGAATATTAGAAATGGGTTAGAACAATATGTAAGAGCTAGCCATAAGGAACTGGAACTATCCGGGCCAGGCAGTGTTTGAAAGAATACAGTTTCCGTGTAATTATTTCTGGGCATAAGCTAGCCATGCGGGCGGCCGGGTGCCGGGGACGCAGCCCTGCCGCCGCTCCTATTTCAACAGATGGCGCCCAGACGTGATGGCTAAATCCACTTAAAAACCTGAGAAGGCTTAAAAATAAGGGAGAGAGAGTTTAACACAGATTTTTGCTGTTTTGTTGGTGGCGTTCTGTAGAGAGATTCCTGATTCAGCAACAGCAAAAAAAAAAAAAAAAAAAAAGCCGCGTCATTTTAAAGCGCTGCTTCCTGGAGCTATGCTGCCAGCGTGAACTCTGGCTTTAAAGCATTTCAAGGCTTTTATGGGACTGGATGTTTGTGTTCCCGCTTGGGATCGGAGGAGAGTGCTCTGAGACTGTGCCGATGGCTCAGCGCTTCCCGCCTGCACCTGGGCAGACGGCAGAATCAGGCTTAGGCAGGCGGAAGAGCATGGCGGATTCCTGCCGCCATACAGAGACGCATTTTCAGACTGCGCAGTGCTCTGCGTGTCAGATTTGGCTGTAACTTGGAAGAAAAGAGTTTCTGTGCTGCACACTCAGTCTCAGAGTTAAACTGCTGATTGCGGCTCCAATGTGGACTGCTGTGTGCCTGGAACTGTTGTGGCTCAGGGGCACCAAATGGCTCTGAGGCAGGAGCAGCTTGGCTCAGCTCTGCCATGCTGATCTGTGCTGGTCTCAGGCAGGAACTACCGTAATTACCTTAAAACCGTGCAGTTAAGGTTTAGACTGGGCAGGACACAGGCAGTACCGTATTACCTGTACATGGTGCAACTTAAGTTTTTAAGAACTGTTTAACATTTTAAGAAATGCTCCTGGATAGTGAAAAAATTACAGATTCACAATAAAACAGATTCAGACAGACCACTAAATGGATCACAATGTTGGATGAGTGTACGTAGGCTTGAGAGAGAAAAAAAAAATATAGAGAGAAAGAATAAAGTTAATGCCCTTAAAAAAAAGGGGATAAAGTCTTTAAAGAGACAGAGTACAGATAGTTATAGATTAAGAGAAATAAAGTAAATATAAGCCACGTAAAAATGGAAAATTCACAGAGAGTCTGGATTATGTACATTGTGTTTTCTTTAAAATTTTTGACTGTGAAGGAGCTAAGTACAGAGAGACATTTCATTACATGGGCTGCCAATCTAAACCAAAATGGATATAAGGGTATTATGATTTCAGAATTTGGGTCTAAGGATATGATGCTTTGGAGAGGGTCTTCTTTTGTTTTTGCAGAGGATGAGACCCTGTGGATTGCATCTATTCCGATTTGGTATGATAGACCACGCCCTCCTGAAAGGTTGCTGTGAATACCCTCAAAAAATTGCTTCGCTCAATTGCCAACTGAGATGAAACTAGCATACAGGTTATATCATGAACAACCTAATTAACGACGCCCCTATTCAGCAGGAAGCAGTTTGTAGAGAAAAAACTACGCCCATGTTCCCAAATATTGTTTATAAATGTTCTTTTACATTTAAAGGGGGATATGATATAGATATGAATAATTTGCATTGGTATGGATTTTATGGTCAATTTTGTTATATGTATATGTATTTTTGATCTTGATTAAGGTATTGTGATTGTGTAGTTCATTTAAAAATGTAATGTATAATTAGGAAATATAGGTTGTTAATGGATAATCATCGCTAATACTTAAGCTTGTAGTCATGTTAGTTAGATTTTCTAGATATATAGAGAGATATTTTAGTTAGATAGGCATTCTTCATATCTTTCAAAGGCTGCAGAATATGGCATTTAAGATATTTTAATAACTTAGGGTTTTTCATGACAATGAGACACATTTGCTCCTGGCAGCACCAATCTATTTCAAGAGGAAGATGGGCATCGAAGAGAATCCTTATGGAGTTTGATAGCCATTTGGGCAAGAAACTGCTCTTGCCTGGACTGTTGCATAAACTGGACACAGAGAACCCGCAGAGAGAGGACTGCTGAACTTGCCTAAAGGTGAGATGACCTTTTGGGGTTCCTGCTTCATGAAAGAGTCTGTGAGACATTCTGCAGGACACAGCAAAAAGTGACTGAACTGTCTTTGGAATTTCTTGCTTGATGAGAATGTCTGCTGGATACTATGGGCCTGTAGGCCGAAGATGGATGCCCCAACGGTACAGAGGAACTTTGGGTGACTGTCCAGGCAGCGAGATGTCTCTGTCATTTCTAGAGTTTTCTTATTTCTTGTTTGATAGGTAATATTATATCCTTCTGGAGTCTTTGATGGAGTTGAAGAATGGTTAGTTATAGTTTTCCTTAGTTATGATAAGAGATAAAATAGATATAAATATTGTAACTGTAATTCTTACTTGATAACTGTTTTGTTATATGTAATTTTACTATGTTAAAGTTAAAGCCTTTCTTTTTTGTTTAAACAGAAAAAGGGGAAATGATGTGGGAGTGATTTCTTATTAATAAAGAAACTGCCTTGGCCCATTTTATTGGATAGAAAATTAGGTAGGCGGAGTAGACAGAGGAGAATGCTGGGAAAAAGAAGCTGTGTGAGGAGTCGCCATGGTTCTCCCGCTCCAGACAGACGCAGGTTAAGATCCTCCCTGGTAAGCCAGCTCGTGGGCTACACAGAATATTAGAAATGGGTTAGAACAATATGTAAGAGCTAGCCATAAGGAACTGGAACTATCCGGGCCAGGCAGTGTTTGAAAGAATACAGTTTCCGTGTAATTATTTCTGGGCATAAGCTAGCCATGCGGGCGGCCGGGTGCCGGGGACGCAGCCCCGCCGCTCCTATTTCAACACCATGCAGCACCCTCTCCCAGCTTTACATTGTCTTGTATGCTTGTCAGAGTCTTCAGCTAGAATGTGATAAAGACTATTTTTTTTAAAATATAATTCTATTTTAGCTTATCAAAGTACAGCTGGGCCTCATCTTTGGGCATGTTCTTAGGAGGCCAGTTGTAGCAAGAATTTTCAACCTTGATATCTAATCAAATTCCTTGCCCTCCACTCCCTCTCTTCTAGGTAATAACTGATCACATGACTTTCTTCAGCAGAAAATCTTAAGTCAGTTAAACAAGGAATCTCCCTGCTTTCTTAGCTATATTCTGTCTGAGAGTGTACTCCACCCATCTGTCTAGATATTGGCCCTCCTTTTTTTTCTTTTATGAATGTGGACTTGAATCCAATCTCTTGAGGACTACAGCCACCCCGTATCTACTACGAGAGTACTAAATACAGAAGGCTTTCCTGTCTTCAGAGAAGGGCTGGGCTTTTCAGCGGGTGCTACCATTCTGAGTGATAAGAAGGAAAAGGGCAACACTTGCCTCTCTCCTCCTTGGCCACCATTGTCCAGTGAACACAGTCAGGAGCCCGCCCATCAGCACCACTAAGGAACGAATGCATTTAGAACAAAGAAACATTACATCCAGGTAATCTGGGAACTTCAGATTGGTTTGACAGATAGTCTCATATTACCTTAAACATAACAGTATTTTTAGAATGGTGTGTGAAACATTCATTAATGAAAGCTTTAAGACAGCTACTAATACAATTTAATTTTACGAGCCCTAAGTCTTGAGAATTAAAAACCCTCAAATACCATAGTTTCATTTGAAAAACCGAGTTCTCCGGCAAGGCTTTAAAGGTCTTTTTTTTTTCTTAGATGAAGAAATATTTTGTTATTTATAAAACATTTGGAATTACCTAATTTATCTTGCTTGCACTAATTAATCAGGTCAAAGCTCTGTTCCTAAAGCTAACAGGACCGAGCTAACAGCTGAAGCATTAATGCCCATTTGAGGTCATTAAAAGTGTGTTCAAAAAAGCTACAAATAATACATACACTGTGAGTTTTGTCAGGGGTTGTTTTAATTCCAAAGGACAGCTGTAACAGAGATGATAATCACTTCAAGGTGCCAGTACTATCTGCTTACTCCGACCTCAGCAGCTTGAAAAGATTCTCAGAGATAGTCGCAGAATCCATGGAGGGGTTCAAGATGTAACTCATCTCAAAGGGGTGTTGGCGCTTTTTTTTTTTTTCACATGAGCTGTCAACACACACATGAAAGCAAGATTCCCGAAAAGCTGGCAAGATCCATAATGTTTACACAGCAAAGCAAACAACCTTTGTTATTCCAATTAATATGTCTGCTTGTGAAGAAAGCCTGATCCGAACTGTTCCTGTCTCCTTAGCTACACTCAGCTTTATAATGTTGACTCATATTGAGGCAATTTAGAAGTGTATGCAGTTTTACAGGATGAAAATAGATTATGTTGAAAATGACATTTGTTACTAAGGTTCTTGCTAAAAATAACATCTCAAAGTTATTACATTTTCTTCTAAGAGTTTTAGGTATTGTCACATGCATCTGGTTCTCTTTAAGAGCTGAGGCCTAGGAAATACAATTCTTCAATCTTAAAAGTCAGTGATAATAAATGTTAAAAGGTAAAATTTTAAATAATATATCAGGATTAAAGCATTTGTTTCTGTGCTGGTTTTGTTTTTGTTTTTTCAAGACAGGGTTTCTCTGTAGCTTTGGAGCCTGTCCTAGAACTAGCTCTTGTAGACCAGGCTGGCCTCAAACTCACAAAGATCCATCTGCCTCTGCCTCCCAAGTGCTGGGATTAAAGATGTGAACCACCACCGCCTAGCCAGGATTAAAGCATTTGTTGAGAAAGCTTGAACTGTGAATTACTGTACTTTATAGTAATCCTATTGTCTGTCTGTCTGTCTATCTATCTATCTATCTATCTATCTATCTATCTATCTATCTATCTATCTCCTTATCTACCATCTATTTATTTTTGTCATAATGGGAACTGAATCTAGGGACTTCCATATACTAGAAAAATGACTCATCGTTATAATAGGTCTCCAGTCTTCCTTGCCCTTTTTTTTTAAAAGATTTATTTATTTATTTATTTATTTATTTATTTATTTATTTATTTATTAGGTATACAGGGTTCTTCCTGCACATATCCCTGCAAGCCAGAAGAGGGCACCAGATCTCATTATAGATGGTCGTGAGCCACCATGTGGTTGCTGGGAATTGAACTCAGAACCTCTGGAAGAACAGTCAGTGCTCTTAACCTCTGAGCCATCTCTCCAGCCCTTCCTTGCCCTTTTTAATGATTTTGAGCAGGGGTCTTGCTAAATTTCTCAGGCTAACTTTGAATGGACTTGTAGTTCAGGCTAGTCCCAAACTCACTCTGTAGTCGAAGCAAGTATTGACAATACTTCTGCCTTCCAAGTAGCTAGGGATACAGTTCTTTACTTCCAGGCCTCACTTCTTTTTCTTTTAATAATTCCATTCTAGCCGGGCAGTGGTGGTGCACACCTTTAATCCCAGCACTCGGGAGGCAGAGGCAGGCGGATCTCTGTGAGTTTGAGGCCAGCCTGGACTACAAGAGCTAGTTCCAGGACAGGAACCAAAAGCTACGGAGAAACCTTGTCTCGAAAACAAAAACAAAACAAAAAAAAAATAATTCCATTCTAAAACAAGAAATGAGATTTATGGCTGGAATTTCTTAACAATGAAAAGGTACTGCACAGGAAGTCTTGTAGATGAACTTTCTGTCCCACCCATTAATTCCCAAAGAAACACACAGAGGTTAATATTAATTATAAACTGTTTGGTCTATTAGTTCAGGCTTATTATTAACTAGCTCTTACAACTTAAATTAACCCATAATTCTTGTCTGTGCTTAGCCACGTGACTTGGTACTTTTTCTCAGTAAGGCATTCTCATCTTGCTTGTTCCGCATCTGGCTGGCGACTGACTCTCTACCTTTTCTCTTCCCAGAATTCTCCTAGTCTGGTTACCCTGCCTATACTTCCTGCCTGGCTGCTGGCCAATCAGTGTTTTATTAAACGAATGTGAGTAACAGATCTTTACAGTGTACATTATCTCATAGCAAAGTCTACTCCAACACCAGTAGTTTTACCAATGAAAAGTGAGAAAATCAATTTAAGAATATACTGTCATGTGGCTAAGCTGGA